GCGATATGTTTCTTGTCATTATTGGATTTTCGGGGACAATCAGTATTTAGTTTTTAAGAAAATACGGTTCCGGTTACGGTTTGTAGATTCCGCGTTGCTAAAAATCGGCTGGCGCCCTAAATACACGAAGTAAGAATCGGATGAGCTGCTGATTGTTCCCGGAGTCCAGTTTTAGCGTTAGGGTTTTTGGCGTTTCAGACTTGTCGGATTACGAGAACGAAGGTAATGAGTTGGCCGTGTTTGGATAATCGAGACTTCTGGGTTAGGGTTTATTGAGTATTTGTTGAGGCTAAAGAAAAATCATTACAATTGAAGGAAGTCAGTATGGAGTCATTACAGACCACGCCAGTTTGAAGTGGCTTTTAAACTTCAAAAATCCCGCTGGTCGCGTCGCTCGATGGGCCCTCGAACTCCAGTCCTACGACCCTGTCATCATACACTGGAAAGGATCCCTCCACATTGTCCCCGACGCCCTTTCTCGTGTCTGCCCTACTACCTTCGCTGCCCTCGAAATTATCAAGTCATCCCCCGACCGATGGTATTAGAAAAAGAAGCTGGACGTGACCCTCAACCCATCGAAATACCCTGATTGGACTGTAGAAGACGACACCCTTTACCACCTTTGACCCTGCCCCCAAATTGACCCTACTCTCCCTGACCTCAACCGCTGGAAGACCGTTCTATCCCCGGGACTCCGACGCCCAGTCATCGCCGACGCCCACGACAGCCCTTACGCCGCTCATGGAGGAATAGACAAAACCTACCATCGAGTCTCCCTTTATTTCTATTGGCCTGGAATCTACCGAGACGTGGCTAAATTTGTCCGTTCTTGCCCTCAGTGTCAAAAATATAAAGCTGTCCAAACTTCCCCTCGAGGATTAATGCGGGAACGAGTACTAATTGAACCCTGGTCCACCGTAGCTGGTGACATCATGGGCCCCTTCCCCTCCAGTGGTAAACAGAACCGGTATTTGTTAGTTTTGGAAGATGCTTTTACTCGGTATGTAAAACTCAAACCCCTTTGGAAAGCTACTGCCAAAAATATTTGGAAGGCGCTCTACGAATTAGTGATCCTGCGCTGGGAGAAACCCCAATATTTCCTCAGTGATAACGGTACAGAGTTCATTGGGAAGTATCTCACCAAACTTCTGGCCCAATTAAAAATCTCCCACCTGACCACCCCTACATATCACCCCCAATCGAATCCCGTGGAGAGAAGAAATCGCGACCTTAAACCCATGATCGCCATTTACGCTGGTGAAAACCACCGTGATTGGGATCTACACCTCCCTGAACTCGCGTTTGCCCTCAACACTTCCCTTCATTCCTCCCTAGGAGTCTCCCCCGCCTTCCTCAACATGGGACATGTACCCTCACCCCCTAGCGCCCTCGCCCCCCCTCGAGTGGTGGACCATCCACTGAAACCCCCCCGCTGGACCCTGGAAATCCCGTTTGGAGAGAATGACCCATATGTATGATCTGGCACGAAAAGTAATGGGCGAAGCTTTCGCTCGTCAAGCTGAAAACTATGACAAGAACCCGTCAATGAAAGTTTTCTCGGTGGGAGAATTAGTTCTCAAAAAGTACCGCCCCCTCTCACAAGCAGCCCTCCATTTAACCGCGAAATTAGCCCCTAAATTCGATGGACCTTATCTGATAGTTAACGTCACCTCGCCGGTAATCTATGACCTTGAAGAGCCCCTTGGAAATCCCATTAACAAAGTTCACATAGCCGACCTTAGACCCTTTTACCCTCGATCACCCCTAGGTTCTGGAGACGATGGCGAGTGTGAGGAAAAGTCAGATCGGGAGAGGACCCTATCGAGTCCCGATGAAAGAGATGCTCCCCCCAAACCTACCACGGTCAGCCCAATACATGGAGATGCAGACGATACTGATAAGAGGATGGAAGGAGATCGAGTGGGAGAAGCAGTTCCCCATGAGAACCCTTCCAGAGAGGCTCAGCGAGTATCAGGCCACGCCGCCACCCCAGGGGACTCCCAGCCCACGAGACACATCGCCAGAGGACGCGGTAGACCCCGCAGACGTCCTACTGCCCCCCTCACAGACCCTCGAGACCTTGGCCCCGTCGCCACCAGATTACGCCCCCGAAATCCCTGGTCCACCCCCCCCCCTTGACCTCCTCATGGAGTCCCCCCCTCGATTCCCAACTGATACTCCCCTCAATTATCCCCCAATAACTCCCCAAACCCTCGACACCGCCCTTAGAGCCCTCAGACCCCCCGCCCCATTATCCCATTTCAAGCCCCTTAAAGATCCCCATACCGGGAGGTTCATTCCCCCGCTACTTACCCCCTTTCTACAGTGGACCACGGAGCTGTCCCAATCACCCTCGCCTAAAGGCCCTCCCCTCACTCCTCAGACCCTCAGAATCGTAGCCCAGGCCCTTAAGCCCCCTCAAATTCCCTCTCCACCAATCCCTCATTTCCCCAAAAGCCATTCGACCAGCAGACCCTCCTCAATTGCCCTCGCTTCCATCCGTGTCTCCAGAGTCCCCGTCCTTACGAATTCCAAACCCTCCCCTACCACACCCCCTAACCCCCCCCC